TCATCTAATAATGCAATGCAACTACCAACCAACGGATTATTAAAACAGAAAAATGTGTCATTGCAAATGGCAGTAACAAATGTGAGTATAAATTTTTTTTTTTTATCGATTGGAGCGCACGAAAGGGAATCCCTATAATGTTCAAAGAACATCGTGCGTTCCTAGGGAGGATAGGGACAGGAGGTAGGTATTGGAATTTTTTTTGAATTTTTGGAGATTATATGTTGTTGGGAATACTTCCACAGGCAATGAATTCCAGAGCCTAGCCGTTCTATGAATGAAGGAGTCTTAAAGTTGCATCCATAATATAATAAGGATATAGATTTTTTCATAATTTACTCATTGAAAAATTGTGAAAAGTAGAAGAGATTATTGAGCATTTGGGAAACTACATGTTGTTTTACATCTGGATATGATCAATCATTACGTCATCATATTTGTGCGGACTGTGTATCGTTTGAATTTCGCGCCATTCAAAAGTAGGCCTCGAATTGATTGGGGACGACTGATTGGTCAACCGAATCACGTGGTGTTGGAGAAAAGTGGGGTGGAGCTATAGTGCCCCCATAACTACTTACTTTTGCTAGACTATTTCACGAAACATTAGATCCTAAAGCAACATAAGTTGTGTCAAAAGATAAGACATTTTCGGTAATCATCAATAGAATGAGTTGTAATTGTTGATATTCTTTCACTCATTATTTTATAAACGAAACAAGAATTTGACGTCTTATTTTCAATTGCAGCCGCTGCGTTATGCAACTAACGATACTTCTAAGAATTTAGATTGCCAAATTGGCATGACATCGACTGTCATAATATGATTGTTAGAAATAATTATGTTATCGTTAGGAGGTTAGGGGTTTACTCATGAGTTTAGGTTGATATTGGAATTGTTTCTTTGAAATACCGATCATACAAATTTATAAAATTCTTCGATACAAATTGAAAGTGAGTGCCTATCACGATTTTGGCTGAAGATTGGTGGTGAATGTCACTTATAACTAAATATAAACATATTATGACAAACATCATTTTGTTTTATATTTGATTGAACTATGAGAAAGCGAAATACAAAATAGAAAACGCAGCATATAGGTACCCAGTATCAATAGCCGAATTACAGAAAGGAAAACATATCATTTTCGATCGCCATAAGTGATAGGTATCACGATGTTTACGAGTCCGTCAGGACGAGTGGTATTACTGAACGGCATCAACACAATTGAGTCCGTAAAAATGACGTTGATGATGGCCGCTCGAAGAAGAAACGTCGGATTTCCAATTTGACATTCATTTTGAAATATGTCTACAAATAAACTGAATAATAAATAAAAACGATGTTACATATTTTCCGTTTTCTCCTGATATCTCCGGAACTAATTGAAATGTTTCCAATTCCAAAGCATCATTTTGTTTAGCTTGAAATGGTGCAACTCTGTCATAATTTGACCTACTCTGTATCTATCAAGGCTACCGAGATCCCCATCCTTAGCCACGAATTTGGAACCCGTGGGAAAAAAGTAATTTATGAAAAGTGACATTTTATAACCTGTCAACAGAGATGAAATGTCAAACTTTTTTCCCGTCAAAAAAAATTACATTATCGTGAACTCGATCGTGAATGATGAATCACCAAAAAAAAATCGTGATCCATATTTATATTCTTCCTAACAAGGCATCGAATTGGCACGTTTAAAATATTTGCTAGGTGCCTATCAAAATTGAATGAACTTTTTGATGTTTTTGACGAAGTCGTGATATTTTCGAATATATATACGCTCTGCGTGAACCAGAGGCCACCTTTAACGTATCGTAAGCTGTTAATTAGAACAAAGGGAAAGCGTTTTCGATGGTGTCCCGCAGAGTTGTATTCAGAGCCGCGAAAGGACCATGCTTTTGTCGGTTCCTTTTCTCACTTCGATTTGATTGATGATGTAGCAAAGTGAAGCGCAGCAATGAACAATTATTTCAGTGGGTTACTCATATAATTTAGATAAATCGAAACGATCAAGAATTGGAAAAAATGTAACGAGGTTCAAATGATACCAGATCGAATGTATGTGTATTTGAATCCGAAGGTCTTGGTTCGTCGGTATCAAACAAGAACATTATAGCTATACCTTTTGGTACAATATGTGTTGAGTATCTGATAGTTTGGCCATTGTATAGAGGTATACCTTTCGCCTACTAACTAGCTTTTCCATTTAGATCGACAATGGTTCGACTTCATTTCATATTTTATTGGACCAGTTTGTTCTCTTTCTCCAGAAGAAGTTTGATCAATATCATAAATTCACGAACATTAAAAAGTGAATTTTCGGGAAATCTATTTAATTTTGTTTTCTACGTTATTATTGGAGATACAGAAAAACTGAAAATATTTTTTTAATACGGCTCTGATGATTATGTATTCACATATTCTGAAAGCTTTCATTCATTCTGAATACAACCATGTATTATACAAGGTTTAAATGTGTTTTGACATAGTATCAGCCATAATCAAAGTTTTTTTCGAAATCCCAGAAGAAATGTCATCAGTTTCACTTCTTTTCATTCATAATTCGTCATTTTGTTCGCTGTTCCCCAGAAGTAGCAATTTCTTTATTTTCCGTAGTGTTGTTAACATTGATAAAATATTATTTTTATATTTTTGTATCACCTAATTCATTGTTTTGTGAAATATAGGTCTCTATTTCATTTTTCACAATTATTATTAAAACAATTCTATGATTATGGCAAAATTAAATTTTCATAAACATCTTTTTGCTTTTTGATAAGGAATATGAACATGAAAAATACCGAAGGTGCCAAAGGTGAACAGAAAATGTCTTATTGGAAAGTCATATAGAATATATTGGGATGCCGGAATTTAGCGTGGGCCTTGGGGCCCAACTTAATCAAAAATAGGCACTGTGTGAACACAATCATGACAATAAACATCAACTTGGCGGTTAGGGTATTTTACGATTGGGTAGACATATACCTAGTATATGATTGTATAAGTAGCACACTATAGAATTTGATATTTAGCATAGATCTAAAGTGTGTATTTAGATCTATGTATTATATGTATAAACAACCTAGATTACTTGGAACCAACAAGAAATCTTTATAAACCTAGGCAAATCTGAATTTTGAAGTCAATAGTCATAAACACGAACACATAACCAGACAAAAAGATTAGTTAACTCTCATCAAAATTAAATCAGATATGAGTAAAAGATCTATTTTATACAATCGAAAAATTCTCTATAATGAATTACCTGCCATACTGAAGAAAAAATTAAGTGTTGAGAAATTCAAAAAAGAACTGAAAAAATACTGATGTCTTTGATTCTCTTATATCATCCTGAATCAATTCAAGAACTTATATTCAACAGTCTCTAGAAGAAACAACATTATATGTACTATGTGTATGATTTTAAAATGATTATCTGATTATCTATTATTTTTTTTTTTTAGTTGCTCTTTCATAATTATCTCTGCTATAAACATATATGTTTCTTGGGAATAATAAAGATTATTTATTATTTATTTTACGAAAATTTCATTCAAATGGGACTTATACCTTTGGAAAATTATTAACTGAGTTTCTTGTCACACAAGAAACAGAAATGACTAGATGATATTATTTTGTGTTGTTATGTTCTTGCATTATTGTGAGCTGTAACTACCAGCTCACTAGATTTTTTTACTTCATATTTCAGCAGACAATGATGGTTTTCTTTATAAAATGTCCAGATCCCTGATGGACCATTTCTTTCCTATGGATAGTCATTCCATTTCCATTGCCTCAAACGCATCTCATATAGCTTTTTTCAATCAATCAATTGTTATTTCAAGCGAGATATTATACTGACTTGTTGAGTAATAGGCGGAATGATTTCGATCAGCTGTGTCATCATGTTAGACAAAAAAAAGGGAAAGTCCGGTTTCAATTCATCAATAGGGGCACACTACAGGTATTGTTCCATGAAATGTGATATGGAAAATGCCGAAATTGAAAGTTGATCTTTATGGTGGATTTCATAATATAACGAGAATCGCGATGAATGATGAATGACAAAGCTTTATATTCTTAAACTCTGCAGTCGGGACTGGTAAAATTAACAAGTGTTCTTTAATTGTCTGTCGTAAAAATTTCGAAAACAATCCAACAGTCTTTTAGAGTTTTTGTTATTTGCGTAAGGTGCATTTTTCGATACATTTGCCTACTAAAATGAACAGAGCATAAAGTAGACTTGATTTCCTGTTCTACAGATTCAAAGGTTCCGATATCGTCGAAGAATTATTTCCAGCTAAAAAATTAAGAAAAAAAATGATTGCATCGGCCGGGAATCGAACCCGGGCCGCCCGCGTGGCAGGCGAGCATTCTACCACTGAACCACCGATGCTTGCTTTTATTGTCAAATATTTATATTTGAAATATACCATTCTGTAGATGTTTTTCCACACTATCTGATTCATACCCAATGAAGCAATAATTATCGACAAAATACCAAATAATCTTGAAATAACACTATTCCCGAGACTATTCCTACCTACTAAAAGTTGTATTTCGACTCGATTTTGACCAATGATATTAAATACAGTAGATAGCATTGCTGTGTGCTAACAGCAGCAACATCATGACACATTGCAGCTCACATTGAGTTCAATGCATTTTATACGATAGAAACTCCAAGATTTTTCAAACCGACAGTCCTGGTCAATATATCAAGGACTGCGGGAATTTTCTGTTCAGGAAACAAGGTGTAAATATATATCCGCCGAAATAGCTCAGTTGGGAGAGCGTTAGACTGAAGATCTAAAGGTCCCTGGTTCGATCCCTGGTTTCGGCAGTTTTTTTTTTTATTTTTTCGACATCAATAATTATTGACATTCCAGTTGTATACTGTGATGAGTATGTGCAATTAATATTCAAACTTACAATACCTACATAAATTTTCGATTTGCATGCTCGGGTGGCAGTACTTATTTTCGTTTTTTTTTTGCAGACCAGCGACCTGGACACGTTCCTGTGCAAGCAGGAGTGGGAACGGCGACTGGAAGAAGAGCTCGAAAAACCCCACCGAGGAGATCCTGTCTCCCAGATCGATGACTTCTTCGAATCGTCCCACAACACCAACATCATCCGACACCAACCGTCCACCATGAGCTATACCGGCAAAAATGACGGTAAACAACATATTACATATTATTACTCCATTCTTTTTTTTAAATTTAACTTTTTATATACAGGGTGTATCTAAATAACATCACTGAAAAAATTCATGGCGTGATTCCTTGTGATATTTTGGGAAATAATGTTCATATGCAAAATGATGTGTTCTAACTTGCTCCGTTTTCGAGATACAGGGTAACAATATTTCCATGATAAATCGTTTTTTTATTCGTTACTCAATTGTCTTTTCATCAATTTCAATAAAACGTTGTGGTTTTGTAAATAGTAATATGGAGTTTTTTCTGGTGCAATTAGATACGAAATAATATTTCCAGTAGCGCCACAGTGGGTAAAAATTCCAAGAAGATAAGTGGTTAGCCTTCTATAGAGACAGAGGCGTTACTGGTGGCCCACCCTGTATAGAGGGCTATATGGAATAGGTCCATTATCCTTATTCATTACTATATAACTATTCTTAAATCTCTCTAAGCTTTCATATGCGTCTAATTTTCTAATATTAACTTGCTCAACTAATTTGAGGTTAGTAATATGTGTATTATGATTGGGATTGAACATGTGTTCGGCTACACAGGATTTATCTAACCTATCATATTTTAAATGTGCTATGTGTTCTTTGAACCTTGTTTTGCTGGGTCGCCTGGTTTGGCCTATATATGTTTTGTCACAATCATTACAACTTATTTCGAATATTCCCAATTCTCAATTTGAAGTTGGAAAGGTATTTATATATTCTTCATTACCATTGTCTGATGAATATGGAGTGAAAAAATCTAGTGAGCTGTAGTATCTGGTCTGCTCAAACAAGGAAAATCACCTACAGGTTTCTGTGGCCGATACAGTAGTGCCGCCATACGGTCAACTCGAGGAAACACTCATTTCAATTGTTTTCCTGTCAAACCTACATAACCTTGAAAATAGTAAACGAGTTGACGGCCGGCGGCGTAGTTTGTTCAGTGAGTTTGTGTTCAGTATCACGACATAGTCACTCAATAACTCGAAAATTAAAAAAATCATTCCGCCTCAAAATGGTTGCTACAGACACTACAATAGTCCCCAATTTCGTAATGTTGAACATCTGAATTAAATGAGAGGTAGAATCAGTAGTATCGATTATTAGCTTTTGATCAGGGCTCTGATTATCTTACTTGTATGTATCCACTTATGTCGCAAAGAAATATCACTTGGAAATACATTAATAGAGACGGTTTCACACTTTCTGGTAGGAACAATTGAGAGACAGAGTTTGTAACAAATTATCAATCAGAATAAACTACTTTAATACTGGGAGCACAACACAAAACTATATCTATTAACGAAAGGAATATTAGAACAATGAGAATTGAAGAAGAAAGATTTTTTTAGGAAAAAATACAATACAAGTCACTGGCACGACAGCTCTTGACAATGACAACTTACATAACCACAAATTTCGAAAATTTTCTAGAAAAAAGTGAAGATCATTTCGTCCGATACGGTAACATCCTCTGGTGGTCATACACTCAACTGAGCTATAGAGCAGACCAGTAGTTACAACTCACTAGATTTCGTTCTCCATATTCAGCAGACAATGAGTAACACTACTATGCCCAAGGGCGTCGCCAGAGAGGGGCAGGGTGGGGCAGCTGCCCCCCCCCCTACGTTTACGCTCACCAGTCACCTTGCTATCATTGAAACGACTATTTCATTCATCACATAATCTGACCAATCACAAGCCAGAGAAAACGTGTGCTTATCGCGAAAAATAGATGTTTTCAACGATGTAACCATGGGTAGCGAAGCGAAGTCTGTCAATTTGGCAAAAAATAATGACTGTACTTGTCAGAATGAATCATTCATTCAAAATAAATGCTTCTTTGCTTCGTGAACGTGAAATAGTCTCCACTCTGTTCTGAATATATTCTCATAATTCTTCATTTCCTTGTCAAATCTATTGTGTTGCCGTACAGCCCTACCTTTCGTCCTGACTCGTGATGTTGCTCAGCAACACAATTTCGTGAACAATGAGGCGACAGAAATATCTTGAATATTAAGAATATCGTGATATTACTTATGATAACGCTCACTTTGAGCAAAGAACTTCCGGAAGTATATTTTTCTCCTGAAGTTGAGAAGGCTCTGAAGATCCTTGTTGCCTTTACCTTGTAAGATTTGTACAGTTGAAAGGTTATTTTATAGCCTTAGGAGAATCAAAACCTGCTTGAGGAGCACCATGTATGATGCTCGGCTCAATGGCCTCGCAATGATGAGTATACACAGGCAACATATTTTCAAAAACTTGAACGATTTCGTCAAAAAGTGACCAACGAATTCCCAAAGAACCCTAGAAGATTATTTTTCAACTGATTTACTGTATAGATTTTTTTCTGTTTTTTGATTTACTCATAAAACTCTTTCTATTTGATTTTTCTCTTCAGTTTTTTTTATGGTGCCCCCCCCCTATTTTTTCCGCTGGCGACGCCCTTGACTATGCCCTCTCTCTCTTTCCAGTGTACGTGTCGATGCGATCGTTGGTCGGCGGCCCCGAAGACGACGCCTTCCTGCGACCGACCGCCCTCTGGGAGGACATCGCCAGCAGCATCCAGAACATCGATCCGGAGAACGCGGATATGCTGGGCGTGGCCGCCCCCGCCCCCGCCGCCCACCACGTCAAGCTGGAGGCGGGGGAGGAGCTGGCGGGGGGCGGGGTCGTGGCAGTGGGCGGGGTGACGGGCGCGCCCCTACTGTCGCCGTTGGAAATCAAGACGGAGAAGGTAGATAGATTTCTATAGTTACCATTTTATAGAGCTGTGACTGACAACAATATCAGTCTAGAAGGCTCTGCCACAAAATGGAGTGTTCAGCTTCTGGGACGATTATCTGTGAGACATTTTGAACAGATGGGGTTAGTTTGTTTGGGTAGGTAGTCTACTTTCTCACGCATTATGATTTCTCACCAATCGTTATGCAATCTTGACACGATATAGTAGAGGTTTTTACCATGTCACGATAAAGAGGATGGTTAGTCCATCCATAACGATTTATAAGGGGTTTGCTTGGCTTGCGAGAGGTTATATTTGAATAGGCATGGGTAGCTGAAATCACGAGACTATATTTAAACAACAATAGTTATTGAAGCATGAAACATTATGGGTATCGATGATCGCTGTTTTGAACTTGCTGTTTCGTTTTGCGCTATTTTGTAACGCGCCGTTTTGTGGCAGAGCCTGGAGAGCATTGAGGAAGTGTTTCACAGTTTTCTTATGACGTTTTTTTTATATATTTAGACTAGAGACACTCTGACAAATACTGATAGTCACGGATAACCACTAATAAATACTTAGATAAAAAATCGAGAATCATGTGTAGTGTTTCTAACTGCAAAAATCCTGGAAATCGATTAACTACATTCAAATTTCCATCAAATAGAGCACACACAGGAAAAATGGAAAGAAAACATGAGCAGCCGGCGTGGAATACCTATAGATTTTTTTTTGTAATATGTGTTATATTATTTATCGCATTTCTATCGAGTGCATACCGTCAAATTCAATAATAAATTGTATTGTATCGAAAAACAACGAGATATAATTTATAATCAGGATGAATATCGAAACGAGCCAACTAATTCAGAACGAATATGCAACGAGAAACTCGTTGAAATTGAAATTCATTTCAAGGAAAAATGTACAGCTGAAATATTCGAATATTCAAGGGTTACTATAGTGAGAAAGAGTGAACAGTTCAAGAAAGAAATTGATGAAAAAATAGAGTTAGAAAATTAAAAAAATATTTAGATACCAAAATAAGAGTTAGCAATAAGTTTCACAGCTATTACTTAAAACTTATTGCATATTTCAAACAATTTCAACATATATATGTATATTCCGAGGTATATTCACAAGAATGTTGGGAAACTGAAAATTCAAATATCCAGTCAATTTTGAGTAAAATTCAAGGTTTGATGAACAACATCCTGCACAACTTTTGGAATTTAAAAACGAATGGAAGATCTGAATGACACATTGAAACCTATATTAATAGTGAAGTTGCTAATGTTGCTATTTATGATGGTGATAGAGAAAATGCAGAAAGTTTGGAGAAAGCGTTGGTGACAAAATTCACGTGTGATTCATCTAGTTATAATACTTTATTGAAATTACGTTACGCATTTCCGAATTCAACATACCTAACTGCGATCTCTGAATAGACATTTCGAACATTAATTTTCAACCCTGTTTGTTGAAGGGATATTTTCATTTTCTGACCAATAAAATTCTGAATGTTGAACCATGTGAATGAAAATGTTGTCTCTATTTGGATAGAATCGCAATAACGCGTGCCAAGAAAACAACCAGGAACATAATACGGCAAAACACATGATCTGCTTGTAAATCTTATGTGATTGTCTGCCTATCTATACCTTTTCAACTTCAATTTCGGAAAAAGTAATCTCGATTTCAGAATTGGTTAGTTCGATTTCAGAAATGGTAAACTCATTTTCAGAATCGGTGAGATGAATTTCAGAAAAAGTCCATTCAATTTCAGAAATGGTAAGTTGTATTTCAGAATTGGTAGTTTCAATTTCAGAAAAAAAATCCTTATATTCGTTCGAAATGTTTCCAATTGTATGTGAGATTAACAAACCATATTTACAATATTCAACTTGTCAAAAACAATTCAATAACATAATTATAATCTCAATTTAAACCACAGATGCCTTCCATCCGAATCGCTGGAAGATAATAGCGTTGCACATGATTATGAGAATTGCAAACACATTTGAGGTGTTATCATTTTCATTGAATGATCTGCACATTCCTCAAGACATCGCAGTCTAAATTCTATCTGGCTGAGCAAGCTGTTCGGATCCCCAGCTGTGACCCTTTGGCGATGCTCTTGCAAGAAGCTCTTCACTTCTGACTTGAAGGCACCCCATATATGTTCAATCTGATTCAACATAGGCCTCTCAAACACCGTTCATCCACTGTAAACAATCTTCTCTTTTGCAATTAATAACATTTCAAACATATAAAAGGATTTCATCTTCTGAAATTGAACCTACCAATAATAATTCTGAAATACAACTTATCATTTCTGAAATTGAATGGACTTTTTCTGAAATTCATCTCACCGATTCTGAAATTGAGTTTACCATTTCTGAAATCGAACTAACCAATTCTGAAATCGAGATTACTTTTTCCGAAATATAACTCACCGATTCCGAAATTGAAGTTGAAAAGGTATAGTGTCCGTACCTACTCTAAATTTACGAAATCGTGAAAATATATGTGTATGTCGAGTACTTCAAAGAACTGTTGTAGAAGCATGAATCATGAAATGTCAATTTTCGACACTGAATGAAGATAACATAAATTGTCTCCGTTTCCAGATCCTGCAGCAACCAGCCCCCACGTTACACCTCCTCGGCACCCCCACCAGCCCCTACCACCCCTCCCAGCCGACCAGCCCCCACTACCACCAACCCCCGCCACCGCACCACCACCCGCACGCCACCAACAACAACAACTACAAGTACAGCAACGCGGCCCCGCCCCCTCCTCCCGGCAACGCCCTCTACCCGATGCCGTCCCGCCTCATGTACGTGACGCCTCTGACGCCGCCCAGCTCGGAGCCCGGCTCGCCCGGGGGGGCGGGGCCTAGACGGACTCCGCCCCCGCCGTATCCCGCGCCTGGATGCCAGGCGGTCACGCCCTCGCAGCACGCGTCGGCCAATGGGCGGTTGGGAGGCGGGGCGCACGGCGTCAGGTACAACAGGCGGAATAATCCGGAGCTGGAGAAGAGGCGGATACATCATTGTGATTTTATAGGTGGGTGTGCTTCACAATATCACTCATGGCACTTACGGCTTTTGTCAGGTCATTCAACACCGTTTTACGGCAATATCTTAATTCATGACATTATGGCACTTGGCACCTTTGTTACTTCCAAATTGTAATTCAGAAAGTGTAACTTGTAATTCAGAATACCTTATTATTATTCAGAAAGCGTCAATTCAGAATGCATAGCATGTAATTCAGATTAGTGAAGTGTAATTGAGAAAGTGTAGCTTGTAATTCAGAATAGTCAATTGTAATTCATAAAGCGTAATTTGTAATTCAGAAAGCATCACTTTTAATTCATAAATACTGTGGAATCATAAGTGATACTTCCTGAATTACAAGTTATGCTTTCTGAATTACAACTGACGGTTTCTGAATTACATTCCACTATTCTGAATTACAAGTTACACTTTCTGAATTACATTTTACTAATCTGAATTACATATTACGCTTTCTGAATTACAATTTACTAATCTGAATTTCAAGTTATACTTTCTGAATTACAATTAACTATTCTGAATCACAACTTATACTTTCTGAATTACATCTTATACTTTCTGAATTACAATTGGAAAAGGTGTAGTGTACCTTTCGGTAGAGTTGATGTTATTTTGCATTCATACAGGGTGACATTGAAATAAGTGCAAATATTTCAAACACTGGGGAAGCTCGACGAATACTATCGAATGGCACTAATGACAAAAAATTTAGGGATCAAAATAAAATTTGAGGTTAGACCCCTTTTTCCCACCAAAAGTTCTACACTGTAGCAGATCTGACGTCACTTCTGTTCAAATTTCCATGCGGTAGGAACAATCACGCGGAGTTCAATCATTTAAATTGTTTCAAAGTGGCAAACTTGATTTTTCTCTTGCATTCTGTTCGATTTTTGGGATGAAATTTCTCGTTAAATAGAAGAATTAGAAAACATCTGATATCATGGGAATATTCCTTAGACTGTATCATATGTACTGAATATGTGCACTTATTTCAAAAACACCTTGTATATCAATTTTGAAACCATTAGAAATATGATATTCAGGATATTCAGGTTGTTTCAGATTGTGATTTAGAAAATTTATTCGGCGATAAAACTCGTAACACAGTACAAGAAGAGAAGGAATTTACTATTATCATCATTTCACTCGTTATTTCCTGAATGAAACAATGATTTTACATAATTTTATAGTTTGCAGTAGTTGCGTTATGCGACTAACGATACATCAAAGATTTTAGATTGACAACTGTCATGTCGTCGTTGGAAATCTTTGAATGTTAGGAGGTTACCGATGATTTTGATTCGAATTTATAATAGAAAATACAAAATTCACTTCATTCAAACATAATAATAAGTATAATTTGGAGAATTTGAGAATTTGTCGGTCACCGACCACAGTGAATTTTGACATTATGAGAGCTTATACAGTGTGTCCCACTTACCATGCTCACCATGGGTATCTTTTTAACGGTGAGAGATACGAGGTCGGTTAAATGACACCAAATGTGGAGTTTGTCAAGGCCAACTATAATGTGAAAAAATATTTTGATAAAATCTATTCGATTTTGTTTTATACGCAAAAACCAGATTTTGATCATTTTCATGTCTCCTCCGTAACTTCTTTATTTATGAAAATATTCAAATAGGAATTTCACATTCTCAAGGCAGTTTTTCAAAGTGATTTCGAACAAAATATGAAATTTATACCAACTCTTCTAGAATTTGAGATATCAGCACCAACTTTAGTTTTTCAAATGTAGGTCATAGCTCACTATGACTTAGTTACAGATAACTTTTTTTTTCTTATAGATGATATGTCTCAGTAATAGTTTTGTGTTGATAACAACGGAGTTATCGTCATGTATACAAAAACAAAAAATTATTTGGAAGCTGCCATCTTGAATTTATAAATTTCAACAAAAAATCATGATCTCCGACCTCAAAAACCCCCACTTACCAATTTTGAATGGAATCGGACCAAATCTTGTCCGCCATCTTGGAGCAGCCATTTTTTTTAATTTCAACAAAAATTCCATAATGTATTATCACCGAAATTATGAACACCTGCCAAATTCCAAGTTAATCGGAGTTATGGAAATTTTTGTTGAAATTGAAAAAAATGGCTGCTCCAATATGGCGGACAAGATTTGGTCTGATGCCATTCAAAATGGGTAAGTGGGGGTTTTTGAGGTCGGAGATCATGATATTTTTGTTAAAATTCATAAATTCAAGATGGCGGCTTCCAAATATTTGTTGTTTTTGTATAAATGACGTAATGACGATAACTCCGTTGTTATCAACACAAAACTATTACTGCGACATATCATCTTAAAGAGAAAAAAAAGTTATTTGCAACTAAGTCATAGTGAGCTATGACCTACATTTGAAAAACTAAAGTTGGTGCTGATATCTCAAATTCTAAAAGAGTTGGTATAAATTTCATATTTTTTTCGAAATCACTTTGAAAAACTGCCATGAGAATGTGGAATTCCTATTTGAATATTCTCATAAATAAAGAAGTTACGGAGGAGACATGAAAATGATCAAAATCTGTTTTTTGCGTATAAAACAAAAACTAATAGATTTTATCGAAATATTTTTTCATATTACAGTTGGCCTTGACAAACTCCACATTTGGTGTCATTTAACCGACCTCGTTTCTCTCACCGTTAAAAAGATACCCATGGTGAGCATGGTAAGTGGGACACACTGTATACGGTAATAATGGTAGAGGGCAAATTAAATTTCTAACGCGTCAACACCCTGTATCTCGAAAACTGAGCTCCAAAACATGTTTTTATGTAAAATACTATTTTAGCGAGTACTATCCTGTGGTACTATCCCATTAACTTGATAAACGTTCATGTTTTGACATGAATATGTTTTATTCTCCACTTCCCTGTATATCATTGCATTTTCAAATTCTGCATCATTTTCTTAATCTTATGACACCAATAAGTGACATTACAAACTTCAATATTAATTTTAATGTCATTTTCCTGTAAAAAATGTCAAATTTCTTGATTTATCATCAAATTGAGTTCATCAAAATTTCAAAATGGTTTGGTGTACCATATGATCCTGTATCGTGTTAACACCCGGTATATCAAATAATAGAATTCGAAAAAATACTTTTCTGGGCGTTAATATTCAGTGAGAGTTTTTTGAGTTCAACCATGCGTAAGATATTAGATGTCACATTTTCAGCAAACATTGAACAACAATTTTCATGTAACGACTGTGTAATGATTGTTATCTCGGTCTCATTAAAAGAAAAAAAAATCTTGTACCCATATCACCTACTCGAGCATCAATTCATACAGATTTTAAACCGTAAACAAACACTATAAATATTTGCATCAATAATTTCCACATATCTTATTTTATGACTGATGACTGATTATGTATTTCCCAGAAACACTACAAACAAACCGGCTTTTATCTGACGTTTAGGATATCCCACAATCGCAATCTATTTTTGAAGGATTTATTATTTTCTGGTAATTATATTGGAAAGGCAAGGAATGCGCTTGCATATCTTCGCGGGGTCAAGCTAGAAAAATCTTGCTACATGCATTTCGTTAAATATAGGTTCAGCAGTGGCGTGTTTAGAATCTCGCTGTAGAGGGGCCGAGGCAAAAATAAAAATGTTGCCAAAATTTGTCGTGATACATTGACCGTTATAATTAAACGAAACAACACCAGAACAACCATCTCAGCGAGCACAAACATCCCTGGGATGTTTTGGGATGTTTTGAAAATGTTGGCATGAAGATGTTATTTTGAGACGTAATATGCACTGACCAAAGAGGTCTTTGAAGGATATTGAAGTATTGTTTTCGTTCTTCTGTGGCATTTCTTTGTTTGCCTACTGAGAGGTATCCCTGGGATGTTTTGGGATGTTTTAGAAATGTAGGCATGAGGATCTTTTTTTGAGGCGTGATATGCACTTCCCAAAGAGGTCTTGAGGAAATTGAGAGTTTTGTTTTTGTTCTTTTGTGCCCTTTCTTTGTTTGCCCCACCACAACGTCTCATGCTTACGTCACAATACGATGAATTCTGATTTGTTTTCGATTTTGTTCTTCTTGTTCGCAATTGGCATTCGCGTTTGCAGCGTGTCACGCTTACATCACGCTGCTAACGAACAGAAAGGAATTTGGTGAAGTTTATTGTGTTAGAAGACTTATTAAGTTTGTAATAATGACCATCAGATGCAAGATGTGTTGTTCGGTGCCTCAGTGTAATCAATATATAAAAGTACGAATTCATCAATACACAGCTTCTCCGCAATTGCAAAATTATGCATTGTGGAGAACATTCCAAAAATTGGGAAACCTATTTCCAATTATATGTCTGTGTGTAGTAAGCACTACTCAGAAACCGATCAAGAAGATAATTTCATATCAAGAAAATATTTTTATGTTCAATCTATTTTTAATGCATTTTTTCTTTCAAGGGAAATGGAATCCGAATGCAAAAGTTCATTTTAACAGGAATAAGGCTTCAGAAAAGTACCTCAATAATGGTTTTTTCTACAAACGTCAAAAAATGACAAGGTTCGCGCATTGATAACAAATTGCGAAGTGACACTTTTTTTCAGTTCCCTACGACACCATGATACCTTGCAAAAAACAATGCGCGAAGTAAATGTAAAATATATGAGATATTTATATTTCAACTTTATGGTCCTCAATCGAGCAGACATCCAAAAAATCATCTATTTCTGAATATTCGACAATAACTTTGTTTTATCTCTTGGAGCGCACGAAAGAAAATTACTATTATGTTCGTGGAACATCGTGCGTACCTAGGGAGGATAGGGGGAGGTCTTTTAAGCCAGTTCAACACTATTTTTTATATCGAGCTGAGCATATTTTTACTTTAGAACTATGTTTTTTGACGTTTGTAGAAAAAATGTTGTTTGCAACTCGAGCGCGAAATACTTTGGTCATCTCGACTATTTTTTTAACTCGGCTACGCCTCGTTAAAAAAATCAGATCTCGATCACCAAAGTAGCATTTCGCGCTCTAGATACAAAAATAACTATTTTACAGCGATTTAATGTGCGCAAGACGCGTTGAAAATGTTCTGTTGTGTCCATGAAAAGGCTTTAAAAAGAACTAGGGAGAAGGTAGTTTTGTGACATATCAAGGACATCTCGATAATTGCCGCCTGCGGCGGACATTGGCTGTTCTATAATAGTTCTATTCATGTGTGAACTGTGAACAGAACATCGCAGTGGAGGTTCAATGTCTCGAAATCTCGTACTTTTAACATCTCTGAGATGTTTTTGTGCTCACTGGGATTATTTTTTATTTTGGCTAAGCAATGAACAAACATGGAAAATAGCATCTGGTTTATTTTCCCATCTATTACAACTCTTAGTTCTTGTTTTGATATGACTCGAGATTACTCATGCAAAGTTACCACCGCCACCAACTACCTAATTCAGCGACTCTACAGTCTACAGCTAACTGAACACTCTGAACAGTGAACGTTGATCATTTGGCAGCCACGTGATCGCCACCGATCCGATTATACAGCGAGTGTCCCATTGGGAAACGGAAAAACTTCAACAGTGGGTAGAGCTCATCAAGGTGGTTCTGGATATACCATATTTGTAGGGTCTCGCAAGTTTTATATCCGAGATATAGGGTGTTTTATCAATTTTGTTCAATTCTTTGTGAGGACATAACTAACGAACCACCCAGTATATTCATTTGGAATTTGGTACACAATTTCGCCTTCTTCTACCAAAGCGACTGACCTATCAGTCACGAGAAAAATCCAGGACTGGATCAACGAAAATTGATCATATATCTGGACCACAAAAATATCACCCTGTATTTTCGAAGTTCCAAAATCCGCTCACATATTTAGAAAGTGCATGAAAATCTGAATCGTATGATGTACTTTCCATTTTTCTGCATGCTATTTCACTAGGTAATTTCTGATTTTGAATATGGGGTTTTATGCATTTGGATAGGTAAAAATGAAATGTTTTGAGTTTTCCCAATCGAATAACAAAAACTATCACGAATCACCCAGAATATTGTTTTGGAATTTGGTATACAAGTCCTCCATCTTCTACCCCAGCGACTCTCCTATCAGTCACGATGAAAATCCAGGTCCGGAATAACGAAAAATTATGATCTTCTGGGCCCGAAAAAGAACACCGAGTATTTTCGATTTTCCAAGATCCGATTCCATATTTGGAAAGTTCACAAAGAGGTGAATCGAATTGTGTACTTTTCAATATCCCGCATGCTCTTTCACTAATTAATTTCTGATTCTGAAAACTCAAAACTGTCCATCTTACCTCGATTTCTATACCTATCCAAATGAATAAAACCTCAAATTCAAAATCAGAAATTCAGTAGTGAAATAGCCTTCGTATGAAAACTAAAAGTAGACAATCCGATTCAGCTTTTTGTGCAATTTTCAAATATTTGAGCATATTATGGAAATTCGAAAATACAGGGTGTTCTTTTTGGGGCCCAGAAATATAATCAATTTTCGTTAAACCAGACCTGGATTTTTCTCGTGAATGATAGGTGAGGGACTTGGGTAGATCAAGGAGAACTCGTGTACCAAGTTCCAAAAAAATATACTGGATGGTTCCTGATAATATTATTCGATCGGAAAAACTCAAAACATGTTATTTTTACCTATCCAAATGCATAAAACCTCGAATTCAAAATCAGAAATTCCTTAGTGAAATTGCATGCGGGAAAATGACAAGTATACCATTCGGTTCAGCTTTTTGTGCACTTTCCAAATATGTAAGCGGATTTTGAGAATTCGAAAATACAGGGTGTTCTTTTTGGTGTCCAGAAATATTATCAACTTTTGTTAATCCAGACCTGGATTTTTTTCGTGACTGATAGGTGAGTCGAGGACTTGTGTACTAAATTGCGAAAGAATATACTAAGTGGTTCGTAAGTTATGTCCTCCAAGAATTGGGCAAAATTGATAAAACATCCTTTATCTCGGATATAAAACTTGTGAGACCCTACAAATATGGTATATTCAGAACCTCCTCGATAAGCTCTACCCACCGTTGAATTTTTTCCGTTTCCCAATGGGACACCCTGTATAAACGGAAACTGTTCGTGGATCCACTTCAGGTATGAACTAACGATTCGACGAGTTTTTCAGTGCATAAAATATCTACACCGTGTAGCATAAAACAATCATCATATATCAATAATTAAATGGTAGATTTCTATAAATATTATTACATAAGACTGGATGAACCGACATTTTCGTGTTTTTTTATTCGAGTGTAGCCCCTCTGTTCCCCCCCCCCTTAAACACGCCACTGAGGTTCAGTTATTGTAAAATATGTGTTTGGAATTCCTCCGCATACAAATGACACATTTGCATTCATTTGTTTCTTTCACAAATTATATGCCTTCGATTGTTTTGCAGAAACTGTAGGTTGAGATTGTAACGTTGTACATTTCTTTGCATAAGGTGAGGGATCGTTATTAGGACAGTTTTTTATTTTTCGAGAGCATTGCGAAACAATTATTATGATTTATCACTCTCATGCCCATCCTGATCGTTAAAATGTCAGATGAAAGTAGGTGCACATCTCACGAGAGATAATGAGCTTTGAAGTTATCGCTCCGAATTTGAATAAATGTCGCATTATGGCAAATGAATGAGCCGTTCGGGTAGAATATTTCAGAATATTTCGTAATGATTGAACAGTTTTTTCTCGCTCTCAATTCTGCTCTTTATAGCTGTATTCTGATTATTTCCTCCAAGTAGGTATTGTTACGATGATGTAACACTCAGTATAGATAACTTGAAACTATTTATTCAATTCAGAATCACGGTCTAATACAGGGTGAGTCATCGGGAACTGTATATCCTCCTACTACGAATAGAGGCCCTAATGTCCATCAGAAAGTGTCTTCGTCTCTTCTTTACCAATATACAGGGTGTTTCATAATTGAATGCTGATCCTAAAGCCAGAGTGGTTTCAGAGATATTGGGGAATAACTGATTTTTTTGTTAAATTTCAACATCCTGTATCTCAGAAACGAAGCTGTTACGGACCTATGTTCACATGAAGAATTTTTCTTAAAATGATCCAAGGATTATCACCCTTTAGGATCAGCATTCAATTATGAAACACCCTGTATATGGTGAGTTATTATGAGATTTGGCAAAAACATCTTTTGATCATAACTTTTAAAAAATCAGACGAATCGAAGAAGCTGCTGGAAAGTTATGACCAAAAGATGTTTTTGCCAAATCTCATAATTCACCCTATATATTGGAAAAGAAGTGAAGAAAACACTCTCTGATGGACATTCGGTATTCCCCTCAGGTGCCTCTATTCGTGATATGAGTATGTACAGATCCTCTAACTCACCCTGTATATCTCGAAAAACACTCCTGGTTACAAGAGGGAATAAGAGGGAATAAATATCTATATATCAAAAAGAATATTTGGTCATTGCGGTTTTTTTTTTCTTTCAGGTTGTACAAAAGTCTACACAAAAAGCTCACATCTCAAAGCGCATCAAAGGATACATACAGGTGGGTGTCTTATAAGTAAGTTTTATTTTTTTTCCAATTTCGATTTATTCACTTGTCCAATTCCAATATTATATTGAATAAAAGACGTCCAGATATTGCTAGTGAGGGAATTAAAGCAGAGATTTCTGATGAACATTTCCCGTGGACCGTGGAAGTATCTACGAAGTTTGATATTTTAGGCTAATTATCAATTGCCCAATTTTCGAATTTTTTGCTCCACGTTTCAACCAGAAAAAAAAACGAGACGGTTTGTCGAAAAACGCGTTATTCACTATGCATTATGCATCTCCTCTTGCATTTCCATCAAAAGCATATTTCATGACGATTTTGTGAGGCAAAGTGTTAGTATTGATTGTAAACTCAATTACTATCCTATTTTGGAAATTTCCGCTGCGTAATTTTTATAAGAAAGTGGCTGTGCTAGATTCCGGCAAACTCAGCAGAGCCATTTTTGAATGGGTTATATTTTCTTCCGATTCGATACATTGAGATTTCTAGGCTAATTTCAGACTAATTAATTTCCCTATTTTCGAACATTTTGCTCTACGATTTTAGAGAAAAAAAAAACTAATTGATTTGTCGATATTCGCGATATTTTATATCAAAATCAGTTTTTTGACGATTTGATGAGGCAAAGGAATAGTATTGATTATAGGCTCAAGTACTATATCACATTTTGAAATTTGTCGAAATACGCGTTTTTAACTATACATTATGCATTTCTATGAAAAACATGTTTTATGGCGATTTTATGAGACAAAGTGTTAGTGTTGATTGTAAGCTCAATAATTACCCATTTTGGAATGTTTTGCTGCATGCAAAAGCATCAAGAACTGGTCATACTGTACAAGTGTACAGGTCAGATATGTTCATGCTTATACGAATTCCGCAAAATTTATGCGGATCGCAAAATATGGAATTTTCAACAGAATTTGACGTTCATACGTAATACGTAAGGGTTCTGTTGTCATAAATAATTTCTTCATTTCTGGTCCCACCATTGACAGCACGTTACACGAAATAATTGAAATATTTATTATGGTCATTCAGTCGCATTTCTCGAACGAGGCTGTGATAATTCCTGTAAATTTTGCGGCAATTTAAAATGCTTCGAACACTGCAGCTCCTTTTTTTTGGGTCTGGACACATCATTAGCTCTATAGAGACCATACAAATGATCCAGAGAATCCATTCTGTGAAAAAAATTAATCAAATGAGGAATGAATTATGAATCTTATAATCATAATTGTGCACCTACTTGTAGTCTTGTGCCTAGTCTACTATTTTTTCAGCCTCTGTTGTCCGCTTCCTAATTCCCCACATATGCATACTGTGTGGATATGATTCCGAATGGGGAATTTTCCTATATTGAGGTAAAGTTTGTAAAAAATTAATATTTACATATTTTTTCTTTTTTTCGTAAGATCAAATTTCACTTCATAAAATAATAAATAAAATAGGAACTTGGCTCCTCCACCATTCCTATGACGTTTCTGAAAATCCACATTCACAAAGTGTTAAAATACGATTCGCCCTGTGCCAGTACGACGTTGCCGACATCGTCAATATGTCTATATTTCCGGAAACTGTTCTTTGAATGCATAATAACTATATCATAACAGCAATGGGATATATTAGGTTCTTCAATCCTACTTTGTCAAGTATAATTCCCTTGTATCTCTCATTGGCTGAATGAAGTTGATTACTAGAAAAGAATAATTTTGATATTTTGCGAGAGTATCTATAATTTTTCACTATCGTTATATTACAATATGTTATTCATAACTTGTCAGTCATTTTTTTGCCAATGAATTCGTTCACTAATAAAACGGATCTATTTTCTGAGAAAGTTGCAACAGCGCCTCATACTCCGTCCACATCACTCAAATTACTGACAGGCACAACTAGAGGAAGGAGCCATGGGTGTCGGCTTCCTTCTCCTCTGACCGATGACAGTAAATTAGTAAGGATAGTATCATTGAATGTAGCCGATAGTGATTCATTGATTCAATGATATTTTCGTTTAGGATCGAGCTCTATTCGAGATATTTCAATGCATAAATATTAGCAAAACCTGTCAGAATGAAGCCAACTACCCTCTGCATTCCTGCTCCGAGTGCATTTGTGGTTATGTATGTTTTTGTTTACCAGTTTTACTTCTTCTAATTTTTTCATTCGTTTTTCATTCGTTAGCTATTTGTTAGCTATTCGCTAGCTATATTCTTCACGATCAGCTATTTTCAGACTAGATTCAGAATGTACGTCATAGTTTGCCGCCCCGAAAATTATGAATTGCTTCAATTTGAAAATGACAATGACTTGGACTTTATCGGTCGCCATTCTGTACAGCGTGGACATAAAACTGGAAAATTCCGAACTCATTTTATGAAAATTCATCGGAAGGAAACTTCCCCATTCGCAAAGAAGTTGAAACATTTCAACTTCATCGCGATAATTTCAGCCGCCATTTTATTCGCATAAATTTGGCGGAATTCGTACAAGCATGAACATACCTCAAATTTTCTTTTCAACCATTTTCAACGTCCGAAGGGTTTAAAATAATGATGAATAATAAATCAAGATAGCGATAAAATGTCAATGAAAATTTTCATTTCCAGGGGAAAAACCGTACAATTGCCAGTGGCCGGAATGCGAATGGCGATTCGCGCGATCCGATGAGCTCACCCGCCATTACAGGAAGCACACTGGCGCCAAGCCGTTCAAGTGTGGCGTTTGCGAACGATCCTTCGCCCGGTCGGATCATCTGGCGCTGCACATGAAACGCCATCTACCGAAAACCTCCAAATGAGGCGCGCGCCTCAAGACATTTATTTATCACATCACACCGTACATACATATATATACACGTCCATTCCTCAACTCATATGAAAAGTGACATGTCGATCTCAATAAGGTTCGCGAATTGTGTTTTCGTGGGGTTGTAGTTTATCGGGGAGTTTTGGTGATTGTCGTCTAGATGGAAGGTTTGGTTGAGGCTGGAGTCATTCGCAATAAGGTTGAGGGTATTGAAAATTACTTGTAGGTATTTGACAGGAATCACTGCAAGTTACAATGTTTCAATAGTGCAAATTATAAAATAACTAGTACTAGCAAACTTTTAACCCAGATATGTCTGAAAATATTTGGTTTCAAATTTCGATTTTTGTTGAATAAATGTTTTGGAAGCTAGAGTTTCCAAAAAGTTGGTGTCCTTTTAGAAGGACGGTAGGCAGATGAGTGACATTTCCTTGGATAAAAGTTTCGATTTTATCAATATTCTAACTTGAAACAAGTAACTTAGGGAGCAACATTGCAGTTTGAGAATTTGGTGTAAACGTTTTTATAACAATGTCGTCATCTGATTTCCGTCTCCTGCGTTACCATCAAATGTTCATAACGGAAATCTGCGTTTTCTAATGGAGAGAGAGAGGCAAAACGTCCACTTACTGCAAGTTATCAATTTGTTGTTGTTTGAAAACATTTTTGGAAGCTAGAGTTTCCAAAAAGTTGGTGTCCTTTTAAAAGGACGGTAGGCAGATGAGTGACATTTCCTTGAATAAAAGTTTCGATTTTATCAATATTCTAAATATAATACAAGATGACATGAAAACCATTCTGAACATAAAACCGAATGAAGAATATGATTCAACTAGTCTCTGACATAATAGGGCTTGAAACAAGTAACTGAGGGAGCAACGTTGCAGTTTTAGAATTCGGTGAAAACGTTTTTATAAGAATGTCGGCATCTGATTTCCGTCTCCTGCGTTACCATCAAATGCTCATAACGGAAATCTGCGTTTTCTAATGGAGAGAGAGAGACAAAACGTCCACTTACTGCAAGTTATCAAACTGTTGTTGTTTGAAAACATTTTTAGAAGCTAGAGTTTCCAAAAAGTTGGTGTCCTTTCAAAAGGACGGTAGGCAGATGAGTGACATTTCCTTGAATAAAAGTAATCAACAACTAGCAGCCTCTCAGTTGAATTTTGAAATTTGAAATTCATAACTGAATGGTTGTGAGTTTGAAATGTTTTAACTCCTTCCTATACCTATATTGACCAACGAATTCAATCTTTCATATCGCAGATAAAGAAGGACGGAGCTTCACTATTTTTTTCATCTAGTTGACAATACCAAAAATGTTACCTCTTGTCCATCACTATTGCCTTTTTGTGAACCGGAGGCCTTTTCCAGTGTACTTAGACGAGTTGTCATATTTTATATTCATAGAGTAATGTGCATTCAACAATCTGCTCGAAAGTGGAAAAAGTGATTTTTCATTGATATAGCAAATATTGTGGCCTATGCTGATCTCTTTGTCAATACGATCAGAAGTTCTTCAAAACCATGAAAAATTGTTATCCTTCTGATATACCGAGAAGTGCACAAAATACAGCCAGGATTGTAACTTTCGAATTATTCTAGATAGGGTTTTGAAAATTGGTGGGTAGCAAGTATACCGAATTGCTCATTAATTGATGAAACAATTTTTCGTCTATCACTTTCAGTTTCACCGGAAACGACCCCAACTTTTGATTTTTAAATGGGACCCTGTATTGTATGCATAATCGGTTAGGGATTGTCATGACAAATTCAACGATACCGGGTTTGATAGGGTTATTTCAAACGATTACAAAGATATTTGCGTTCGAAGTTTCCGTATGCTCAATGGGTGTGACTGCAATATCAAAACTTCTTTCTCTGTCACACTCGTTGAGCATATGGAAACTTAGAACGCGAATATCAGCGTAATCGTTCGAAATAACCCTATCAAACTCGGTATCGATGAATTCGTTATGACAATCCCTAACCGATTATGGAATACAATACAGGGTGTCCCAATTAAAAATCAAAAGTTGGGGTCGTTTCCGGTAAAACTGGAAGTGATAGAACCAAAATTGTTTCGTCAATTGATGAGCAATTTGGTATACTAGCTGTCCACCAATTTTCAAAACCCTATCTCGAATAATCCGAAAGTTACAGTCCTGGCTGTTTTATGTGCACTTCTCTGTGTTAGTTTATTGGATTTTTTTTCACTTTCGCGTAATTTGTTGATTAAAATTTGTGATTTTTACAATTGATATAATTCCAGTGTTGATAATTCAGCAGCTTTAAGATTTAAGATAAGGCAGCTCCAACTTTTTCCGTGAACTGTGAATAAAAACTTATTTGTTGTTTATGCAAAGTGTACAGTTTTGTTTGTATTTAATTTTTTGTAAAAATATATATTATACATTTTGGTTGTGAGATGCGTATGTACTATATTTGTTATATAGTATTTCCAGAGAATTTTCGCGATGTTGTAATTATTTTGTACATTTTCTTTCGTCCAGTTTATGTATTATTACGTAAATATGCCATCCTTTTTTACCCAGATTTGTGATTTACTTATAGATAAGATTATAATGTAACTGTTGGCGATTGTTATATTAACAAAGGAACAACAGTTTTCATTTTTCGACTTCAAGCTTCTTGAAAAGTGAAGGAAAATTGAATTATATTGATGAGAGTGGGGTGGAAAATATTTGAAAGGGGGTAAGTACAGTGTTGAGGAAGTTTTCATATAATTCTTTCCTAAATTGAAATTTTTCGACCCAGTTATAAAACTATTTTTTCTGCAACCGACACAAAAGTCGTCCATTTTGATACCAAAATTAGCTCTTAAATTGACGTTTCTATTACTGACACAAAAATAGGTATGTTGCTAGGCAACATATTTAGTTCCTAGGAGCTAAAGTTGAATTTTAGTTCCTAGGAGCTAAAGTTGAACTTTAGCTCCTAGGAACTAAAAAGGATGTACTGTAAGTCATCAAGAATAAACAACATTGTGACGGTTGGTTATTTGGGTTGAGACGCATACCTGATTTGTTTCCGATTTCAGCAGATTTGGCATTTCATACTCATGCTGGAGATATAAAAACACCTTATAGTTTAGTACTGGAATTATAAACATCTCAGCTGAGTATTTTTGTTTGATCAGGGAAGCCTTCAAGATTCAAATACTTGCTTGATCTGTATTTCATTCGTTATTCTCGGGATGGATAACTTGTTTTTGAATAATCACGGCAAGCAATAGTTTTTTTGTCCCAAACAACGATATTGTTTAGCTTCATTCGATTATCAAGTCAAACACAGTGTAGTATGGAGAGGAATAAATAATCACTATTATCATTGTTGATATGCTCACTAACCTAACATTTTCTACGTCTTGTTCCTATTGCTGGCACTGGCGCGGTATTTGCCATTAGAGCACCTGGTCCATACACAAATATGTCTTTCTGTGGTTGTATTTATATTGAAACTACAATTCGAACATCCTTGAAAACCTAACCTGCTGTTAATGCAGGTAGAATATTCTTACCACATGGATTATTTGTCAATATTTGTTGCATTGCATACATATGGCACGGCATTGGTGGTTACTTCACATGTTTATTTGAGTTAATTGTTTCGGTTGCAGAAAAAATAGCATGTTTCATTCGGATCAAAAGTGACTTTGTTCGACTCGCAAATTTTGCTTTCGCTCGGCTTCGCTATAAACGCTCCGCCTCGCAAATGCAAAATTCGCTTGTCAAATAAAATGTCACTTTTGATCCTAATAAAACAATCTACTATTTTTTCTCCATCACAAAGAGATTTTCCACACAAAAAATGCTGAAATTTGTTTTCAATGAATCTTCCTGAAACACCCTTATGTAATATTTTGGCATGTGTTTATGTGCCATTTGAATCGACATTTTACTAGCTCTCTTTATTCTGCCAGTTCTAGAAGTGTACTTATAATTATGTACTAAAATTACCCATCGTCATATACGACGTTCAGTATATGGAAGTTACCAAATACATTAACTATTCGATTTTTGTACATAGACATTGAAGGAGCTGACTAGGAACTAGTCCAGTTAACTTTGATATTTCGACAGTACTTTGATGAAAGAAAAATCCCCAACTTCAAATTTTTTTGTCAAAAACAATATTTTTTCTACAAACGTCAAAAAATGACAAGGTTCGCGCATTGATAACAAATTGCGAAGTGACACTTTTTTTCAGTTTCCTACGTTACCATGATACCTTGCACATAACAATGCGCGAAGTAAAACAGTGCGCGAAGTACCTACTTCGCGCATTGTTATGTAAAATATATGAGATATTTATATTTCAACTTCATGGTTCTCAATCGAGCAAACATCCACGAAATCATTTATTTTTGAATGTTCAACAATAACTTTGTTTTATCTCTTGGAGCGCACGAAAGGAAATTCCTATTATGTTCGTGGAACATCGTGCGTACCTAGGGAGGATAGAAGAAGGCCTTTTAAGCCAGTTCAACACTATTTTCTATATCAGGCTAAGCATATTTTTACTTTAGAACTATATTTTTTGTCGTTTGTAGAAAAAATGTTGTTTGCAACTCGAGCGCGAAATACTTTGGTCATCTCGACTATTTTTTTAACTCGGCTACGCCTCGTTAAAAAAATCAGATCTCGATCACCAAAGTAGCATTTCGCGCTCTAGATACAAAAATAACTATTATTCTAGCATTCTGCAGAATGAAAATAAATGCTTCTAAAAAAGGAATCAACCCTAATAGCACACAACGTCCTAGGGACGTCCCTATTTGGTACAATTCACGTCCGAATGTCCCGAACCAAAAATTAGTGTCCTTGGGACGTCCCATCCCGTACATCTCATGCAATGTCCGAGCAAGGACGTCCACGGAATGTCCCAGCTGATACATCATTTCAAATGTCCTAGAAATAGCATCCCTCAGACGTCCCACGTGGTACATATTGTAGAATGTCCATGCAAGGACGTCCTTGGCATGTCCCTGATGGGATATAATTTCAAACGTTCTTTTAGGGACATCCATCGGATGTCCCGAGTAGTACATATTCTGGCATGGCTTCAGATCTTATATAATGTCCCTTCTAGACAACCATGAAATGTCCCTGATGGTACATTCCTTCAAATATCTCTGCACAGACGCCCTCTTTCCAGGATCGTATAACAATCAAAATGTCCCTTAGGGATATCCGTCGGATGTCCCAATTGGTACATGAACTGTACTCTTCCAATGTCCTAAAAATAACGTCCTATGGACGTCCCAGTCGGTACTTTCGATATGTTGTCCCTGCGAGGACGTTAACTTACACCTCGCCGACGAATGATTGCTCGTAGGCTATAAGTACTCCTCGTCAATGTCCTTCACGTAAGTCCATTGGATATCCATGGGAAACTTTTTGGGGACCTTCTACGGACCATCAACTCAACTAGATGTCCTAATCAGTTATGCAAGATCTGGTCCTAGAGGGACCCAGAAAAATTCGAAAGAATAATTCGTACGTACCTGGGACATCCTATGGACATTCAATTGATATCCCTCAGCGTTGCTGATATGTTGTCCTATGGATGTCCTTAGGATGTCCTCTGTAGTGCTTGATGAGGAATACTGTAGGATTTAGGTATTCGATAGTTGTCCCAGGAACATTCCTCAAGGACGACCCTAGTTATTGGTCCTTAAGTGGGACATTTGTGCGTCCCACAGACGTCCAGTGGACGTCCACGGTACCAAATTCGAACGTCCTATGGACGTCCTGAATGTCCCGACAGGACGTCCTAAGGATATCCATGGGACATTAGTGTGTTATTAGGGAACAATTCTGTAATGGTGATAAACATTTTTAAAATGAGAATATACAGTGTGTCTCGCTTTTTATGAATACACCCTGATATCTCAGTTATTACCCAGATAGCACAAATTCCTTTTGAGGCCCTTCTGAGGCGTTCACAATAATGTCCTCAGGACGTCGAGAGCGAGCCAGAGGACATTCTTAAAACGTCCTCCTGTTACCATTCTCTACATACTAATAACGTCTCAGAACATCCCTATAAAATCTTTTGAGACAACCTCAGGACATCATAGTAACAACTTGAGGCAGTTTTTGATGATGTTTCAAGGAGGTTCAAGATTTATGGGAGAATATTATTCGTACACAGAATGAGTCACTAGTGTGTTCTCCTCCGATATTAGCCAAACCGTCAGATATATGAAATGAAAATTCAAGTACAACAGTAATAGGGTTTCATAAGAACAATCACCTAAAGTTGTTTTCATTTCTATAGGGTGTTCGAATTCCAAGATATCGGTTGATGATTGATTTTTCTCAATGGAACACCTTGTATATTATTACATTTTTGAGTTTTCCCTGAAGAGTTGATTTCATCAATGCATCACACTTGGTGTCTAGTGGAAATTATTACAGAGATATAGGGTGTTGACAATCGAGATTCTTCAAATGATTCCGATTGAATGTCATTAGATAGTAAATCAAATGTTCATAAGGAAATGTGAGCCGTTTTGACCAATATTGAATAGTTTCCACAAAAAAAAATCCTAAAGTTGAGAAATCTTGTTTTTGAACACCCTATATCTCTGTAATCATTCCCGCTAGACCCCAAGTGTTATGCATTGATGAAATCAGCTCTTCAGGGAGAACCTAAAAATGCAATGGTATACAGGGTGACCCATTTGGAAAAAAAACAATCATCAGTCAATATATCTTGGAATTCAAACACCCTATACAGATATGAAAACAATTTAATGTGAAAGTTCTCATGAAACCCTATTACTGTTGTACTTGAATTTTCTCTATTTATCTGATGGTTTGGCTGCTATACAAGGATAACACACTATTGACTCTCCTTGTATTATGCAAATGATAATTTCTTCAGAATAATATGGATCTTATGATATTTGCAAAATTTTCCTCTCTATATTTATAATAGGTTTGAATGAAAAACCAAATGAAAAACTTACATTCTATTATTTATAACTTATTCTGAAAAATTTCAATTTCCTTTTTGAAGAAATGTATTTCAGCTTCTTGTTGAGCACTACTAGAAGTTATTGCCTATTGGTAGTTATATTTCTCCATGTTGTTTTTGATTCCTGAACTCTGGACATTCCTGATGCAGAATCAACTGGAAGTTGAAGCCTTCATGCAATATTTTATAGATTCTGAAGAAGCAAAACTATCTGAAACAAACAATGTATTAATATTTCATGTCTGGTACCTACTTACTATCAATGATATGATTTATGTAGTAAAAAGGTACCAACCATTATTGAATCTACTGAAAGTTCAAGTCTGCATTATGTACAATCTTTCATAATTTCCGAAGAAGCCAAAATATCTTGGAATAAAATATCTCTGTGCTCTGATGATATCATCATTTTGTGTTATCAATAACCTCCTGAAACAAATAATGTACCTATTAATATTTCATGTTCCAGTACCTACTATATCAATGATTTGATTTAGGTACCTACCTTTATTGAATATACTGAAAGTGCAAACATGCATACAATCTCACATAGATTTCGAAGAAGCCAAAATATCTTGGAATGAAACATCTTTGCTCTGATGACATCATCAATCTTGTGTTCTCAATAACTTCATCTGAAACAAATAATTAACCTATTAACATTTCATGTCCAGTACCTACTATATCAATGATTTGATTCAGGTACCTACCTTTATTGAATTCATACTGAATGTTCAAGCTTCCATACAATATTTTATAGATTCTGAAGAAGCAAAGATATCTTGGAATAAAACATGTTTGCTATGATGATATCATCAAGTTTGTGTTCTCAATAACCTCCTGAAACAATATATGATGTATATATATGAATGTATCAATATTTCATGTCCGGTACTATATCAATGATTCTATTTAGTATTTACTCACCTTTGTTTCTTGCTACCTGAGAGAAATGTCATCAACAGAGATTATCATCCTTTTGTTATTGTTATCTTTTAATTCCGTGCAATAAGTTCTTCTCGCAATCATTTTGTGAAATAAAAATTTGATGAATGCATGATGGAGGTATTCAATGAATACTCTAATAATTAATATTATGATGTATCTTGAACAAATCATGACTATCATGAGACATAACCTCAATTCTAGTTCTTCTTTTTCTTCCTTGTGTCTTCGATGACACGTTATTTCAAGGAATGTCATCTGAAGACGTCCGTAGGCACGAAATTCTTTACATCCTCAGGCTGTCACTGAAAGAACTCATTCAGGACAATTACAGCGCTAAATTTACGCCTGATGATGTTCTTAGGTTGTAGAAAATAGAACGTCCTCTCCAGGCGTTTGGCGACACATTGAGGATGACCTTAGGCGAGTGTGTGCTATCTGGGTAATGATGCTACTTTCTTGAAATTTTAGTGGTGATTGTATGTTGGAACAATGAAGTATTTAGCAGAGTGAACAGTTTCATTCACCATTGGCGTGCAATGTTGAGGGGTACAAAAAAGGCCATTATTCGAAAAAAGGATATTAGGGCTCATTTTAAATAACTTTTTCTATTAGATTCAGAATCACCATGCCCAAAAACCTAATAATTCATATTTTCAAAATCTCAAGAAAAATCTAAAATCCCTCTTTTCATGACTACGCCAAAATCTCAGTTATTAATAATGCGATTTTTCGAAACTGTGATGGTGATTGTATGTTATTTTTTCAACATAAAATCACCATCAAAATTTCAAGAAAAAAGCATCGTTGATTACTGAGATTTAAGGGTGTTGTTATGAAAAGCGAGATTTTGAAATATTGTATTTTAGCTCTTGGGATCTTGAAAATATGAATTAGGGGGTTTTTGGGGATGGTGATCATGAATCTGATGAAAAAAGTTATTTAAAATGAGTCCTAATATCCTTCTCCCAAATAAAGTTCTCTTTTGTACCCCTCAACATCGCACGCCAATGGTGAATGAAATGGTTCATTCTGCTAAATACTTCCTTATTCTAACACACAATCACTACAAGAATTCCAAGAGAATTGCACCATTAATAACTGATATATCAGGGTGTATTCATGAAAAGCGGGACACACTGTATAAACATTTGAAATTCAGAGTTGACATTTTTAAATGAGAACTTACAATCAAAATGAGCATGAACTTAATATTCAAATCAAGTTTAAACACATAAATGTGGGTATAATTTGAACTTATCTTCTCAAATATGTTGGTTTTCTTATTTTGAAATAGTCTATTCTCAATTTAAATGTATGTAGTATTAAAATGAAGATTTAATTTACTTAATTCGGAATATTTTTTCTGTCAGCAGAGTACTGTCGATTTGTTATTACGAGTAAGTTTCAGAAACCGCTATCATGCATATCTAGTGTATTTATATCTTTATCCTATAAGTATTATGTAGAAAAACGGACACACACAAAACTACTTCTATTAACATTAATTTGTACTTTATATTTTATTTATATGAATATACAGCAAGCTAGAGTACACATGAATGTAAACACTGTTTTTATTTTTTAATTTTTTGTATAATTTTAATTTTAATACAGTTTTATTTTTACCATCAATGTGTTTTCATTTGATTCCCTTGAAATGAAACTGGTATCGAACTACTAAGTATTCAATTGAAAAAAAAATCAAGCTAATTCCTTATTATACCCTTTCAACACTGAAAATTCGTGTCTGCTCAACATGAAAATAAGGTAGGTTTCTTTCTATTATTGGGGGTTTTCGAGATATTGGCATTTTGAATAGAAATCTAAAACGTCCAAAATTGCTGAAAACTTCTCCATAACTAGAATTTTCATCATTCTATAGTTTCCGAGATTTCTTTTTTTAATTTTACGACTAGACGGCTGTGCTAGTCCGCCCTAGAGGATGAGCTCCAGAATGAGCTAAAAATTCGTATACAGGATGTTGTCGGTCTGCAGAACTAGAATATGAAGTCGGTTTCACTGTATGTCTGATAAATTTAGAGATATTAGCATTTTAAAGAAAAATCCGAAACATCCAAAATCGTTGAAAACTTCTCCACACATCCCAATTCGTCTGTCTATATATAGTTTGTTAGGGGGGAAAAATTTGGTCCAAAGTGGGGTCAAAAATTGACGTTTTTTAAATTCTAGGATTAGAAAGCTGTGCTTCTAGTCCGCTCTAGAGGATGCCTAAAGGGCCCTAAATACCAAATTTGAAGGCGCTAGAACAAAGTTGATTTTTGGGTCTGAAAAAGAAAGAAGGTTAACCCCTTTGAACTTTTTTCGATATATTTAAGGGCTCAGAATGAGCTGAAAATTCGTATACAGGATGTTCTCGGTCTGCAGAACCAGAATATAAAGTCAGTTTCTCTGTATGTCTGATAAATTTAGATATATTAGCATTTTAAAGAAAAATCCGAAACATCCAAAATCGTAGAGAACTTCTCCACACATCCCAATTCGTCTGCAGAATACGTCGATCAACTCGAATTTTCATCAGTTTCTACATGAAAAAAATCTTGGTCCAAAGTAGGGTCAAAAATTGTCATTTTTTCAATTTTAGGGCTAAAGAGCTGTGCCTCAAGTCCGCAGTAGAGGATGCCTAAAGGGCACTAAATACCGAATTTGAAGGCTCTAGTACAAAGTTGATTTTTGGGTCTGAAAAAGAAACAACCCCTTTGAACATTTTTCGATATTTTTAAGGGTTCAGAATGAGCTGAAAACTCGTATACAGGATGTTCTCGGTCTGCAGAACCAGAATATAAACCCGGTTTCTCTGTATGTCTGATAAATTCAGAGATATTAGCATTTTAAAGAAAAATCCGAAACATCCAAAATCGTTGAAAACTTCTCCACATATCCCAATTCGTCTGCAGAACACGTCGATCAACTCGAATTCTCTTCTACATTGTTTCTCAGAGGAAAAATTTT